AACCCCTGGGTCCAGGGTGGGGCCCCAAAGGGAAAATTAACCAATTATTCAAAAAATAGTAAATTTTACTATAGTTTACATAGGGAAACAACACTTTTGGGTATATTTTGACAATTTTCTGTAGGAAATTATTCTTACTTGGTGAGAATTATCCTTGGAGAAAGATGGTTTTAAAATGTAAAATTGGGATTCTTACCCCAACCCTAGGGGCCAGGATGGGGCCCCAAAGGAAAAATTAACCAATATTTCAAAATTCTTCTTCTCCAGACTCAGAGGTACTACAGTCAATTTTAGTGCACGGATAGAACGATCATCAGGAGCTTTAATGAAATTGTAAATAGCTGTTAAAAGGATGTAAAACGCAAGCAAACAAGTCAAGTTAAAGGACACTAGGTCAGAAAATCTGACTGAACTTTCTATTTTGAGAGTATTGATATGTTCTTTTAGACTACAGATATAAGATAATAGGTCTGTTGTTTCTTGTCAACGCAGGACCAGTTTTTCAACACTGACCAAGTTGATATCCTCACCAGGAAGATGATGACACGTCTGGCTGATGTGCGACCTGACGCTGTAGCTTTGGTGGATGCCTTTGACTACCACGACAAAGTGCTGGATTCCTGTCTGGGACGATATGATGGGAATGTGTATTACGCACTCTACGAGTATGCCAAGTCATCACCACTGAATGAGAAAGATGTAAGCAAGGGAATGATATATGAATTATCTATGTTTTGTTCGCATGCTATTTAAAGAAGTTTTTTATCATTACTGGTAAAAAAGTTTATATGATTATATGACTATGTTTCGTTAGCATGCTATTTTTTTATCATTACCGGTAAAAAAGTTTGTATGATTATTGGTGTATATTAAAAAAATCAGCAATATTAAGTAGTCAATCATTTAAATGAAGCAAAATACTAAAAGAAACATTTAAAAGAAATCAAAACCATGTTTTTTATTTCATTATACAAACGAAGTTTTTTTTTCATTATTGTATGTAATAGGTAGATGGAAAGAAGGATGTTATGTATACAAAAAGATTGTTTATTGTTATGAAGAATACTAAAATACACCCTTCTGTGTTTACAGGTGCTTGACTCTTTCCACAGATATATTAAGCCACTGAGAGAGGGGCAGGCCACTTCATCCCTCCCATCACGATTGTANTGATCTAGAAATGAAATGATTAGTTTTCAAATTATTTTATTTTAAATCAAATTCTGACATAGATATATTTCAGCTTTTTGTTCAAATTTTTATTGTGAAATCGCTGCAGTGATGACCCCATTGATGAGAGTGTCCTAGCTGTCTGTGGAGTTGAAGACTTCAGCTTTAAGATTGAAGACACTGTTGACAATAGCAGTACTTATGTGATACCTCCTTCGTGTTCAACTTTGAGGACATGGGAGGCAAACAATCCCAATTAATTTGTTGGTGGCTTGGGAGATATAACTCCCCAAGCTAAGCTGTGAAACTTGTGCAACTACCAAACATAATTTTAAAAACCTGTTAATTATCTTGGATCAGACCAGCTAAAACATTGAGGAGCTACATTCCAACACATCAACAAGGTGAACCTTTAACATTTTGAACGGGAAAGTACTGCAGTATTCAACGATATCGAGGTAGAATTCTTACTGTGAATATCAAATAGGAAAATCAGATTTTGTTATTAATTCATTTGTTTCTTCAAAAGTATGTATCAATTCTAGTTTAAAAACTGTAATCAGAAAACTATTTATGAACATAGTAGCACATAAACATATTAAAAATGACCAGCAGATATTTTGCTGAATATGATTTGTTTAGTAGTAAGTGCCTATAATGTAGCATTGTCTTTGAAACTTTGTATTTTATGTTACACTTAAATATAACATGAAATATTAAACCCATCTCCCCAATACTCCCAACACTTCAAGAGCTGCCTCATGCTGAATTCAAACTTAAATCCCTTTTACTGTAACATAGACATAAAGCCCAAACTTAATCTCTCATAGACTTACATTGAGTCCTTAGCTCAATATTAGGCTTCCATAAACTAACCATAAAGGATTATACTCAAACGTGGTCACCAATAGACTTAACATGGGGACAATAGCTCAAACTTAACCTCCAGTTGACTAAACATAGACACTTAAGCTCAAACTTAAGTCTCCTATAGATTTAACATAGAGTTTTAAGCTCAAACTTGGTCTCCCATAGACTTAATTTGAGATTTAACTCAAACTGTGTCTCCGATAGACTTTACAGGAAGACAAAAGCTCAACCTTTACCTCCCATAGACTGAACATAGGGGCTTACTCTCAAACCTAATCTCAGAAGACATAAGATAGAGACTTCAGCTCAAACTCAGCTTCAAATTGACTCGAAATTGGGTGATAACCTGTACAGCTATACATGTATGAATTGCTTAGAAATGAGAGCTTTTTGTAGCAGTTCTCCTATGGCTTTATATGGTGTACTTGCTGTATATTTTTTAGGAAATTGATATTTATAATATTTTGTTATCGTGATGTAAGACATGGTATTGATAATGTAGTAGTGTATAGCAAGATGTCTTCACAATGTGTTTATCTTTGCATGTTCACAGTTTCTGCATAGTCACAATTTTTTTAAATTGTCAAAATTTCTAACTACAAAATCATTTGCAAATTTAAAACGTTAAAAAATGT